AAAGCCTTCCTTGATACCTATTGGTCCTTTTCAGAGCCATACATGACTTTCTCAAAGGCAAAAATTGGCATTATGCAATCAAAGCTTTGTCATTTTAAAACAGAATTAGTGCTATCAAGCTTCGGCAATTAAAGCCTTATTCCTGAATTAATGCATTATTTATCATAAGCAGATTTACAGTGCAAGCCTATACATGTCTACTCAGAATTACGTACCATTGATTTGAATGAGGCTTACTCCCAGGTAATTGAATATAATGAACACAAGTCTTGGGTCTGCATTCCTATACACACACTTACCTGGTAGTCGGGGATACATCTGAGTAAACATGTATAGGGTTGATTTATGAGTCTTCTAAATCTTTACCATTTTTGAAACAAAAAATAAGAAAACACAATTTCCAAAAATAATTTGTGATGATTAGAGAATGGAAGAAAATATTTTAGAATAGCAAAGATCCTCCAAATTAAAAAATGAAGTAAAGATGTATACTGGAAAAGGAAATATTTCTGCTAAAACTGAAATTAACAATGTGTTTCAAGCCTGTGAGATATTTCTACCCACACAGAAAAATAAACAGCACATTGATTATTTACTTGTACCTTACATGTCAAAAATAATATTTCAGTTCTAGGCTGCACCTTCAAAAACGTAAAAAAAAAAACACTAACTCTTTAGATACAAAATTATTCTGTTTTGTGTCATGATCAAATAATGGATTTCCTTTAAAAAATCATTAATTCTAAGTGCATTCACAAATCTATGAGAATAGAAGAAAAGGTCTGAAATGTACAACTGGCTGATGTACAAATAATAAAATTGCTAACTGAATATGGAAAATGCCTTTGAATCCATGTGATGCCAAAGAACAAGGTCACCTGTTATGCTAGCAATAAAAACCTGATTTTATACAATGCATTGAATTAATTGAGACAGTCCATTATTACAGAGATATTGCATTGTGGAGGATAATTGATAACTACTGAGTGCCTGATCCAAAAACATATTCAAACATATATAGTTATTTCTCTTTTCAAAAGGTGATGGATGTGATCCAGAACAATCTGATACATATCAAGCACTGGTGGCTAAAGATGTAAATGGATATACAAAAGACGCAGCACTCCTTCTGGCATAAGCTGACCTAAATTTCTAAAACTATTTTTAAAATCCACTTTGAAAAATAAATAAAGAAATAATGTTTATATTTTTGTCTTGAAGAGCCACAAAATATTCCTTCTGTCATATAACACGGTTTACCTGTCCCATCCTCTCTCTAGTTTCAAACATTCAGTCACATTTCCTTTCCATTATGCTAAAACTGTGGTCACCAAAGTGTCTGCTTGCTGTGACCAAGGGCCCCCCAAAATAAAGAGTAAATTATAAAATACCTTCAGTAGGTTAACCTCATCCTCGGAAACATTTTAAAATACATAAGTCAACAGTATTTTGGCATCCTTTCCCCTCTACAAATTGTAATCTGAATTTGGACTTTTAAGTCAAAACAAACCTGAGCTGATATTTTAAAACACTTGTAGAAGAGACACCCATACACACGACAGATACCACCACAAATTCCACATCGACTTAACAGTGCATCTACTGTTTCAAATTAAGGTCTCACATTACCACCATAAAAGAAAACAGGTAAGCATAGTCATTTGAAGAATAGTCATTTGAAGAAGAGAAAGGTGGGCAAGTGGAGGGGGGGGGGGGAATGAACTCCAATTGAAACATTACATTTCCTTTAAAAAATGGCAACAGTTCAAGTTGCACAAAAATTCTGCATCCCCCTGGGGCAAATAAGTAGCAGTCATGCTATTCGTATATTTTAGTGCCCTTTCTTAAAACAAGATGAATGAAGGATATATTACTTCTGGGCAGAGGAAGCAGAGTTGGTACCCATCCATGACGCAGAGAGAAGAGAGTACCCAATGCTTTATATCACTCCAAAGTTTACTAAAGACAGAGGGTTACAGCAACTTATTCCTTCCATTTCTGCTGCCACACCTTCTGACCCTTCTGACACACCCATAAAAGTGTGTATGTCCTTCATGGAGTGTGTGTGTGTGAGTGAATGTAAATATGTGTGCACATATACACATATATGTGCATTTCCCTCAAGAGAAGGCTTGGTATGTCCTTCAGGGAGAGTGCATGGGTGTGTGTGTGAATGTAACTATGTCTGCGCATATATACACATATACGTATGTTTCCCTCAAGAGAAGACTGGGGGGGGGGGGGCTTCCACACAGCCCTATATCCCAGAATATCAAGGCAGAAAATCCCACGATATCTGCTTTTAACTGGGTTATCTGAGTCCACACTCTGATAATGTAGGATTTTCTGTCTTGATATTCGTGGGATATAGGGCTGTGTGTAAGGGCCCTTGGTATGTCCTTCAGGGAGTGTGTGTGATTTTAAATATGTGTGGACATATACACATATATGTATGTGCATATACACATATATGTGTATTTCCCTCAAGAGAAGACTTGTTTCTGATGTTTAATTGGTTTTATTCTGTTTCTGAAAGGAAAGGGCCCTTTCTGTGTTTACATCTGGCTTTTCATGCAGCATCCTGGGCCTTAAGCAAGGCTTAGGCCCCTTCCACACAGCTGAATAAAATCCCACATTTTCTGCTGTGAACTGCAATATATGGCAGGGTAGACTCAGATAACCCAGTTCAATACATATATTGTGGGATTTTCTGCCTTGATATTCTGGGTTATATAGCTATGTGGAAGGGCCCTCACTAAAAAAATTAAAAAGAGGGAGCTTTCCTTCAAACTTTATTTTCCAGTCAAAAATATGAAAGGAAACATTGAAGGGGGGGGGGCTTTATATCCAGCTTCCTTTTTGGAGGGACATATCCATTAGAAGTTGAGCCCTTTCACACAGCCATATAACCCAGAATATCAAGGTAGAAAATCTCACAATATCTACTTTGAATTGGGTTATCTGAGTCCACACTGTCATAAATCTCTGTTCGAAGCAGAAAATGTGAGATTTTATTCAGCTTTGTGGAAGGGGCCTGTTTCTTCTCTCCCTTTAGAGAAGAAGAATCCTGTCTTTGCAAAAGGCAGGCGTCAAGGAATGCAAATCAGCGCTGTTCCCGCCTTTCCCAAAGATGCCACAAAAGATGCCACAAAAGTGGCAAAACCAGGTGCATTTTTTAAAAAAATTGCCTAAAGTTGCCTACAGGAAAGGTATCATGTATTCACCAAAGTTCAGGTGTCTAGAAGGAAGCTATTACGTATTTTTAAAAAGGAGAACAATACTGATGGAAAGGGGGAGATACAATGTGGTCATAATCCCTCCCTGGCAACCCTTGCTGCAAAGGAGGACCTCAGGGAGGGAGGGAGGGAGGTGGCAGAGAAAGGGTTAAGTGGGAGGCAAGCCAAAGGGGAGGGAGGGCAGAGGCAGGAAAGCAACAGAGGGCAAAGGAGAAAACACAGCCCTGTGGATGGAAAGAAAGCGCCTGGGCTTGTGGAAAGGGGAGCCAAGGGCTGGAAGGAGAGGGGAAAACAGAGAGAGGGAGAGAGAGGCCCCTTCCACACAGATGAATACAATCCCACATTATCTGCTTTGAACTGGGATATATGACAATGTGGACTTAGGGCCTGGCCACACAGCCATATAACCCAGGGCCCTTCCAGACAGCCATATATTCCAGAATGTCAAGACAGATAATCCAATATCGGCTTTGAACTGGATTATCTGAGTCCACACTGCCATATATCCCCACTCAAAGCAGAAAATGTGGGATTTTATTCAGCTGTGTGGAAGGGGCCTTCTGATTATCAAGGCAGAAAATCCCACAATATCTCCTTTGAACTGAGTTATCTGAGTCCACACTGTCATATATCCCAGTTCAAAACAGAAAATGTGGGATTTTATTCAGCTGTGTGGAAGGGCCATTCTGAATATCAAGGCAGAAAATCCCACGATATCTGCTTTGAACTGAGTTATCTGAGTCCATACTGCCATATATCCCAGTGCAACGCGGAAAACGTGGGATTTTATTCAGGTGTGTAAGGGCCTTCAGATATCCCAGAATATCAAGGCAAAAAATCCCACAATATCTGCTTTGAAGTGGGTTATCTGAGTACACACTGCCATATATTTTATTCAGCTGTGTGGAAGGGGCCTCCTGAATATCAAGGCAGAATATCCCACAATATCTCCTTGGAACTGAGTTAGCTGAGTCCACACTGCCATATATTCCAGTTCAAAGCAGAACGTGTGGGATTTTATTCAGCTGTGTGGAAAGGGCCTCAGATAACCCGGTTCAAAGCAAATATTGTGGGGTTTTCTGCCTTGATATTCTGGAATATAAGTCTGTGTGGAAAGGCCCTCAGATAACTCGGTTCAAAGCAGATATTTTGGGGTTTTCTGTCTTGATATTCTGCAATATAGGGCTATGTGGAAAGGGCCTCAGATAACCCGGTTCAAAGCAAATATTGTGGGATTTTCTTCCCTTGATATTCTGCAATATAGGGCAGAATATAGAAGGGCCCGGAGAGAGAGAGAGAGCAGAAGCGCTTCTGAATCAGAGTTAATTCAAAACATAGAGGGGGGGCGGGGGCGGTTGTACCCACGCACACACAAACAAAGGGTTATTGGCCCCTTTACCCAGCCCCCCCCCCCCCCCCTCCCCCCCTCGCCCCCACACACAAACAACCCCCCTTCGGACTAAACTGAAAGTAAAGGAAGCAACATGGCGAAAGCGTAAACAAGAGCGCGCCATGCAAAGGAAGGAAGGAGGGAGGGAGAGAGGGAAGCCCGTCCCTCCCCTTCCTTTGCCAAAGTCACCAAAAGTTTTGGGAAAGTTTCTGAGGAGGGACAGAAAGGGGAGGGGGACGAAGAGGGTTCGGGATTGAGAAAGGGGAGGAGGAGGAAGGGACTGAGAAGGGAAAGAGTCCTAAAAGAAAGGGCGAACCCCACCAAAGGAAAACAAAAAAACCAAACCCCCGAGCCAAGCCGCGCGATCAGCTTACCGTCCTTGCCGTGGGCGAGAGCGATCCATTGGGGAGGTAGGGCCCGGTCAGGTCGGGAATCATGATGAAGGGATACCCTGGGTAGGGTGGGCCCTTAAACAACCCTCCATCTTGCCTTTTCGCTGCTAATATGGCGGGGGGGGGGGGGGGGGGAGAGAGAGAGAAAGAAAATACAAGAGGGAACAAGGGTTAGAAAGAGGAATGGCACAGAGAGAGAGAGAGAGAGAGATGTAGGGAGAAGAAAGCCCCTTTTGTACCCAACGCACAGCCATATTACGGGGTGGAAGGCATGCAAGCAAGGCATTGACTTACCTTCCTCTAAACTTTCCCGGGATTTGTCTCGGAAACTTTCGGAGCGAGGCGGAGGCCTCCTCTCCGCCTTGGGGGCCGGGAAAAGTGGGAGAGAAAAAGAAGAGAAGTTACTCAAAGTTGTTGCCAAACTTGATACAAAGGGGGAGAAAAGCGAGCGGCGATAGATAGCAAGCCACGCAACAGAGTTGCAGCTTCGGAAAGTCACAATTTCCATTTCTTTTATGAGATACACACCCAAATACATCCAGGATCCCTTGGATCTCTCTACTTTTGGATCCCCTGCGACTGTTAGTCGGGGCCCAAAGTGCTCTTTGGGGGGTTTGGAGTAGCCAAGCACCCCGACTTCCTGACTTACCTCCGAGTCGGAGGAGCTGTTTTGATTCGTTTCGGACTCATTGACGAGCGAGGACTTGACGTCGGCTAAATCCCTCTCGGCCGAGGAGTTCTCGGAGATCTTGTCTTCTTGCTCGCCTTCGTCTTTGAAAGAGATCAGCTCGTCGTTGGCCCCCAAATCGTCCCCTCCACCGCCATTGAGTTGCGGAGATCTTGTCTTCTTGCTCGCCTTCGTCTTTGAAAGAGATCAGCTCGTCGTTGGCCCCCAAATCGTCCCCTCCACCGCCATTGAGTTGCGGCATTTTCCTCCTGACTTTCCCCGCCAGCAAGCAATTTTGCAAGGAGGGAAAGGGGAGGGAAAAAAAGAAAAAGAGGGGAGGGAAAGAGGAAAAGGGAGAGGGGGAGAGAGGAAAAAAAATATAGAGAAAGGATTGTACGAAACGAGAAAAGGAGGAAGTTTGCACACACACACTAACAAAAAAAAAGAAGAGAGAGAGTCCAAGTTGAAAGTTTCTTCTTCTTTTCCCTTCTTTTTCTTTCTTTCTTTCCTTCCCCTCTCTCTCCCTTTTTCTTTCCTCCTGGGGAGGGGAAAAGAGGGAGGAGGAAGAGAGGAAAAGGAGGAGGAGGAGGAGGAGGAGGGCAATGTCCCTGCTCTCCTTTGCCTTTGGCACCAGTGACTTTGGGTGTCTTCTCTCTCTCTTTTGCTTCTCGCTTTCCTCTCTCTCTTTCTTGTCTTTCCGAAGGATCAGATCAGCGCGCACAGGCACCAAATTAGTAATAATAAAAATTATATAAGAAGGGAAAGGGGAGGAAAAAGGGGGGGAATGTGATTCCCCCCAAAAAGGGGGAAAAATCGCAGGCAAACAAACCAAAACAAGTCAGCTGGAAGAAAAAGGGGGGAAAACAGAAGGAGGGGAGGGGGGGCCCTCTGAAGCCGCAGATACAGGGAGCCTGTGCCGCTCGGATTTGAGTGAGTTGAAGTTAGACTGAGAAGCTTTTTTTTCAGTTCAAAGGCGGCGCTGATTGACAGATCGAAAAAGGGGGAAATCGAAATCCGGAGGAGCGGAGAAGTCTGGGATCCGGGATTATTGACAGGGAAAAAGAAACACACTCGGCACTTAATGAGATGCAGGAGGGGGCGGGGGCTTCCCGGTGACGTGTGCATAAATAAACAGCAGAGAGGGAGGAGGAAAGGGGGGAAAGGGGCAGAAACTAACAATGCTCCTTTTTGGAGAGAGAGAGAGAGAGAGATTGGGAGAGAGGAGGAGGGAAAGGGAAAGGGGGAGTGAGTGAGTGAGTGAGTGGGGACGGAGAGACAATGCAGGAGGAGGAGGGAGAGGAGGCGAGGGAAAGGGGGAGGGATGACCCAAAGGAAACAAAACACAGGTTGCCTCTCCCCAAAATTGCAAGAGGGAAACGAGGCGGTGCCTGCGCCTCAGGAGCGGATTTGTCACCCGAAGTGGGACGGGGAAGTGAGGAGGGGCAGCCCTGGCGCCTTTGGGCCAGCCGCGCGCAACTTTTCCCGCGAGCTTTGCGTGGGGTTGAGCCGAGGAAAGAGAGGGGCTTGCTTACAGCGTGGGCTTGAGTACAGGAGAGAGAGAGGCTTGCTTTCAGGCTCAAGCCAAGTCCTGGCAGGGTTGGCAGCAGGGTCCAAAGCCCTCCCTTAGGCTCCTTCTCTTCCTCCCCCCCCCCTTTTCTTCCTTCCCTACCCACTCGTGAGGGTGGAATTGTTGATAGAAAGGGGGCAGGAAAAAAGGAGCGCCCGATTTAGTTTCTTTGCGCGCCTCAGTGTTGTCTCGGCGTCCAAAGGGAGCTTGAACGTCCCCTCAAACTCTTTATTTCCCTGACGCCCAGGTAAAGGTGCTGAGAAGAAACCACGCTCGACACCCGAGTTTAATTTCCTCACCAGGCACGCCTCTTCTCCAAACAAGCCCGCGAAGAGAGAGAAAGCGAGCAGTGGGTTGCTGTAAGTTTGTATGGCCATGTTCCAGAAGCACTCTCTCCTGACGTTTCGCCCCCATCTATGGCAGGCATCCTCAGAGGTTGTGAGGTCTGTTGCAAACTAGTCAAGTGGGGTTTATATATCTGTGGGAGAAAGAACTCTTGTCTCTAGGTACTTCATCACACTAGAGAATAAATCCACTTTAAATGCGGATTCTGCTTCCTGCAGAATTCTGGACTTTGTAGTTTAGTGAGTCCGATAACGGCTCCTCCCTAAACTACAAATCCCAGAATTCTGGAGGAGGCAGTAACCGGATTTTAAATAAATTTATTCTCTACTGTGACGAGGTCCTAGGAGTCAAATGTGAATGCTGCAATTGATCACCTTTAATAGCATTGAAGAACCCTTCAGTTTCAAAGCCTAGCTGCTTCCTGCCTGAGGGAATCCTTTGTTGAGATGTGTTAGCTGGTCCTGATTGTTTCTTGTTTAGAATTCCCTGGGTTTTTGGTTTTTTTTTTAGTATTGCTCTTTATTTACTGTCCTGGTTTTAGATTTTTTTAAAAAAATACCAGTAGTCAGATTTTGTTCATTTCTCTGGTTTCCTCCTTTCTGTTGAAATTGTCCACAGGCTTGTGGATTTCAATGGCTTCTCTGTACTTCATCACACTAGAGAATTAATCCACTTTAAATTTGATTTCCGTCTCCTGCAGAATTCTGGGGTTTATAGTTTAATTAGGCTGTTAAAAGCTCCTCCCTAAAATAAAAAAAAATCTGAAAAAAAAGAAAGAAAAGCTCCTCCCTAAACTACAAACCCCAGAATTCTGCAGGAGACAGAAACCAGATTCTCTAGTGTGATGAGGTAGTCAGTAGGCTGACATGTTGGTTGTTCTAGTGGTCCAGAATTTCAGGACAGTAATTAATGAACTCAAAAAACAGGGGAATTCCAGACAAGAAACAATCAGGGCCAGCTAATCATCTCCCAACAAAGGATTCCCCCAGGCAGGAAGCAACCAAGTTTTGAAGCTGCAAGGCTATTAAATGCTAATCAAGGTGATTAATTGCAACATTCACACTTGCCTCAAACAAACAAGAGTTTTTTCTCCCACCTTGGACATTCCACAGATATATAAACCCCACTTGACTATTTTCCAACAAGCCTCACAACCTCAGAGGGTGCCTGCCATAGATGTGGGTGAAACATCAGGAGAGAATGCTTCTGGAACATGGCCATACAATCCAGAAAACTCACAGCACCCAGTGATTCTGGCCATGAAAGCCTTAGACAAAACCGGGAGAAGTGGCTTTAGGGGGTGAAAGTTTTGTGGCTTTATGGGAGGGGAGACGCGCCTGTCTGTAACAAAGCCTTTGGGGTCTGTGTGTGTGTGTGTGGTCCCCAAAACAGGCTGGTTAATCTATGCCCATATATAGATTATTGAGAGGGGCGCAGTTGAGGAATGTGCGACATCCCTTATAGAGTAACAGGCATGAACTGGACCGTAGGGGAAGAATGTGGGCATCTTTTTTCCCCTTCACCTCCATCCTTTTTATAAATGACATCTGGCGTCCGATTCTCCCGTGCTGATGAGAGGGGTAAAACAAATTGATCTTCCAGCAGTGACAAATTGTCACAATGGAGGAGTCAATTGGAAACTTTTTACACGGGCAAAGGGACAAAAGTGGCGATGGAGGGGGACCAAAGAGGAGGAGGAAAAGGGGAGAGGAAGCAAGACACACGCGGAGGACATTCCAGGGAGATGAGCAGCATAGAAATAGGGTCAAAAACAACAACAACAAAAAAGGAGGAGCTGTATTAAACCAGCCCTTCCCCAAGATGCCTAAATCTGTTTGTCTAACTAGGGACCTACTCCGGCTTTCCAAAACAAAGCCAAACCATCCTGAAATATTTAGAGAGTTCAGAAGGCAAGAGAGACACTCAAAGGGAAGTAATAAGAATACAGAGAACTGGCATCGCTCACAATGCTCGCACCAATTCTCAGGCATCATGTATATTAAAAAAAAGTCCACCTCGAAATTTACATACTAAAGGAAAAGAGGTAGGCAAAATAGGTTTAAAAAAAAAGAAATATATATCACAGCAACTTACAATCAGGAAACAGAAGTCGAGTGAGAAAAGGACATGAAAAGAAGTAAAACAAATGTGTACATTTAATCAGACAGGATTGCATAGGACACAAAGAACCGGGCTAATTACTCTCAGCAGGTAGGAACTAACCTTCAGACTTCATAAATAAGTAAGGCTGTGAACAATGTCTAAGTGGGAGGACGGAGACAGAAAAAGGATTATTTCAAGACATCCAGGAAAGGAAGAAAAATGAATGAAATACTTCTCTGTTAAATCAATGTACAAATGGATTTAACAGGGTGTTGTTTGGTTTTTTTCTGCTTGGCTTTTGACTAACTCTCTTTCACATATCCTGAAAAACAGCCATGATTTGGATGAGTATTATCTGGTTATCCCTGATTATTGTATTGGATCTAAAATAGTAAAAATATCCCCTCGTGTCAGTATGTTGACATTATGCTTTCTTTAAAAATCTAGTGTTGAAATAGAATTAAATGTTGAATATTTTATTGGTTGTATCAAACCATGGGTTCCCAGCACAAGAAGGGGGTTGGATCATTTATGTGTGTGTACAAGGTGTGTAACCCGCTTTTTTGTGAAAATGTGCAAGCTAGAGTAGATAATTTAAGATGCAATATGAATGCATGAATTCAATACTAAAAAAAAAAACATAACTAAGACAGGTAAAAATTCATGGAGGTAAACATTGAAAAACACTTCCAGAGCTGTTCACAATAGTTGTTGAACTACAAATCCCAGCCATTGTAGTCATTATAACTAGTGGTGAAAAATATTTAGAGCTGCAGCCTAACAGCATTTGAAGGCCTACACGATTCCCTCCTTTGCTGTGTATTGGGCACATTTGTATAAATGCATAAATTCAATAGAGTATTGTGGGGTTTATTTCTGAGTAGAAATGTAGGAATCGCACTCTTATTATAATCCATTTTAAAACACCTGCTTAAAACAGACAGGCTTCTAGATCTGCCATATTGGATACCATATTGGTTTCCATGGTTTAACATATGATAGCACTAGCCACTACTAGGGGATTCTGGTAGTTGTAGTACAATCAAATGTTCCAAGACAAGCTCTAAATACAACCGCAATAGAATCAGTTAAAAAATCCATGGAATCAGTATAGCCCATTGTATGGAGCTACACAGTGATAATAATA